ACACCACTCTAATGTTATTTCCCAGACGATGAGCGAGCGAGTGTGAAGGTCAGAGTCATAATACTACCACCTCTGACAAGTGACGTATTATCTCGATGCAAATGCGCGGGGGTGTACGGGAGAGGTGCAAAATGAATAGAAGAGGTAGAGGGGGGACGATAGATGACGGACGGGTGCCCTCATCATCCTCGAACCCCGTCAAAGGTCACCCGAGCAAGGGCGATCATACGGAGATTGCTGCGCGTTGCCGCTACCGACACCCGCCACCACACTACCGTTGGCGCCATCACCGCCACAGCAACCACCCGGTGAGTTATGCGGCAATGCGTTACGCGCAAGAATGAGGGACCGACAGGCTAGGTGGCTGGAATATGGTAGTGAAAACGTGGTATAAAGTAGGCCAATAGGGTGAGTAGGACGAAAGCTGTGGTGAGGTGGTTGTGGGCGCCATACCAATTCAACATAGCTCCTTGGATCCGATCTTGCGCACGAGGAAGCTTCCAAAAGCACTACAGTCCTTAGTAAAGCATAACGCTAGCTCTCTAGTCGTTACCTCCCTCACTGGTAGAGCTACAGCGAATAATGTCGATAGACGGAACCCTCAACGAATTCCGGGCCCCACTACCAAAATGCATTTCTACTCACTATCCTCACACCTGCTCAGGAGCAGTTGAGTGGTCCTTTCTATTTCTCGTTTTAGCGAGAACTGGCGAAATCAATTATTCTAGTTGAAAACCAGGCTCCTGTCATTGCAAATCAGCACTTTCATAAAGTTTCAATGTCCTACTCTATCGTTCACCCTCAACAAAACAAGGAGAACAGTGAATACGTGGCCTACCCGATCTTCCAGCTAAGCGGGAAAAATGTGCTCTCTCCATGCGCTGAGTATATAGTGATCACATATATTACCACACACACTAAATTCAGAGATGGAACTAAGACATCTCTAGTATGAACAAGTGAGCTTCAATCTAATTTTCTGGTATTTCAGGTATGTCGGTCAACCCATTCAGTGCTGGATTCCTG